TCCTTATTGGGTGTTGATCCTGGGATCGATGAGGATCAGTTCCTCCAAATCTGAGGCCATGGTCTTGAGCCGGAAAACGGTAGAGTGCCCTCTCCGGGTCAGGGAGGAGGTCCTACCCCAAGTGGAGGAGTTTAAGTATCTTGGGGTCTTGTTCACGAATGAGGGAAAAATGGAGCGTGAGATCGATAGGCGGATAGGTGCAGCGTCAGCAGTGAAGCAGGCGCTGTACAGGTCTGTCATGGTGAAGAGAGAGCTGAGTCAAAAGGCGAAGCTCTCAATTTACCGATCTATCTACGTTCCTACCCTCATCTATGGTCACGAGCTTTGGGTTGTGACCGAAAGAATGAGATCTCGGATACAAGCGGCCGAAATTAGTTTTCTCCGCAGGGTGTCTGGGCTCTCCCTTAGAGATAGGGTGAGAAGCTCGATCATCCGGGAGAGACTCAGAGTAGAGCCGCTGCTTCTCCATGTCGAGAGGAGCCAGTTGAGGTGGCTTGGGCATCTGTTTAGGATGCCTTCTGGACGCCTCCCTGGTGAGGTGTTCCAGACACGTCCCACCGGAAGGAGGCCCAGAGGAAGACCCAGGACACGCTGGAGGGATTATGTTTCTCGGCTGGCCTGGGAACGCCTCGGGATTCCCCCGGAAGAGCTGGCCCAAGTGGCTGGGGAGAGGGAAGTCTGGGCCTCCCTACTTAGGCTGCTACCCCCGCGACCCGACCCCGGATAAGCGGAAGAAAATGGATGGATGGATGGATGGATGGATCCTGGGATCGCTCATTGTGAGCAGCTGAGACTGATCTGATCTGGTCCAAACTAGGTTATAATTCAAAGTAGGTCATATCGGGCCTCCAGCAAGATTAAACTTCTAACAATATAAACTTAGAAATACGCTAAACTAAGAATATGCTAAGCACTTATAGTACAAAAACAATACGCCAAACAACAGCAGCCCGAACAAGGTGAAGTCAGTGGACAAGGCCAGGCTGATTCTGGCAGATCCTGATCACCCAATCCATGGTGAGTTCAGGTTGCTTCCATCTGGACGCAGGTATCTGCTGCCCAGATGTAGAACGAACAGACTGAAAAACTCATTCATCCCTGTAACGACAAGGCTTCTCAATGAACAGTGACGACTTCTGTACTGTTATTTTAACGTCTCAATGTCTTGTCTAGTATGGATGTTTTATGTGCCTACTGACTGTGAAACAGATCGTCCCTCGAGGATAATAAAGATTCTTGAACTTGAACTTTAGATACAGTCATACACTGATGGGACAGAGGCAAGGCTTTTGATACAAGGGGTTCAGTGTTTTGCCCAGGGATGCTAAAGTGTGAATTGGTGGAATTGAACCTCCGACTCTCTCATTGGAGAACAACTGCTCTAACCACTGAGCCCCCCAGCAGACACAACTTCTATTTTAACAGCAGCAGTATGTATTTTCTCCCCTCACAGTATCATTGTTCTAAACAATAGAAGTCTTTCAACTTCAGACTTCAGAGAGCCACTTCTAAAGAGACAGGAAAGCAACAGATACAGAGAAACAAATCACGCATTGATGGAATATGAATAAATGTGTGACATACGCTGCACATGCTCGTTAACACAAAGGTTCCCATCCACAGATTAGACGACAGCAAGCCTGAGTTATAATTCAGATACAGAGGGTGGAGTGTGTGACGTGTGTGGCAAAGAGAGGCAGCTCCATAACGCTCTATTAAAGTCTGCGGTAGAGAGGAGCATGTGGTAGACGATGGCCATATGTTAGGGCGAGCGTGACAGTAAAACTCTGAATATATAATGTGAAGTTGATGAACAGGTTGGAGAGGAGTCTAAATGTAACCACCGATTATGCAAACTGTCCCTGGGCATTTACATGTAACTCCACTTTTCTGTATAAACACGCTTAAGAGATTTCATAATCAGGATGTAACTTTTCTTCCAGCTTCCCTTAGCTTATTTAAACTTGCTATCTTTTTTTCTTTTATGTAAAGAGTTGGTGTACAAAAACTTGAAGTACTCAACGTAAAATTGTGTTTTCATTTGAACAAAAATAGAACATTGGATATAAGCATAGCAGTGGTTCAGACCTCCAATGCAGTGCTCAAATATATCTGCGGCTCTGTCATTTCGAGCTAGCATTTACTGAAACCCCCTTTGTTACATTCCAGTCTGCAGTAATTGTACCTCCTACAGCGATCTCAACAGCCCTAAATATCATGCATGTCCTTCATTTCGCCAACTCGCCGCCCTCTCATCGGACAATGTTTACAGTGCAGCCATGAGAAGTCCACGGATGGATGTTTCTGAATTTGTGGCATCACTTTCATTGTGGTTGCCATGAGGTTTTCCCTGTAGCCATATCCTTCTGTTCCTGACAAAAACTTGTGATACTCTTTATTTCTGTTTTCCTATAGACTAGCTCTGTGACAGCCACTTAGAAAGAAAAATACAAAAGCAAAAATACATCAAGATTAGTAGTTTATGACAATGTATTCAGCTATAGGTAATCTAAACCAAAATAGGGCACGGACTACTTTTTCTCTTCTCTTTTTATGTCCTAAAAGACAACGGCTTCCATTTTGCCTTTTCAAAGCGATTAAACCATATGGTGCAGGCAGACAGAGTAGGTCATATTGAGTGGGTGTATAGCTCAATGCATGCAAGCTCTGCAGTAATGAAAAGACCTGCAGGTTGTCATCATAATACCCAAAAACAAGAGGCACCCCCACCCTTGATCACACAGAAGAGGCACAAGGCAGGGCTTTCTGAAAGCTACATGAGCCTTAAGCAGACATATGTCCATGCACAGATTGCAAATGCTTTTTTTATTTTGTTCAGGCACAAAAAGGCTCCTAAACTCGAGGGATAAACCAGCCTTGTAATGACACGTCACAGAAAACTTAGCAAAGAACTAATTTGAAGGTATTTTGACCCTATTTCTTAAGTTGAATTAACAACAAAAAAAACCCTATAAAACAGAGTTTGATATATAAAATGTAAATTAATGTAAAATTATATGACGAGCTGAAGGATGATGAATCTCTCAGGTCCTGTGTTGCTTGATTTCCTCTTTAAAAACATGACTTTCAGATCCTGTTCAACTGCGGTAGATGGGTTTTGTAATGTTAGCCCTGAGACTTATTTTGTCACGCAACTGTGCACTTATTTACTTACTCATTTAAAAAATCTGTACAGTATATTATCATGCAGAAACAAGAACTAGATAGAAAGATCAAAAGGGAACGATTCTTGGAAACAAACCAGGGTGCACCGATAAATCTGCCCCGATTTCCTTAATTTTGGGAAATCGGCCGATACTTGCACAAGAAACCGATTTGACCAATTTTTTTAGTTTTAACAAAAATTGTCTAAACTTCATTTATATTTCAGAGCACTACCTCGTGGCCAGTTAAAACAAGTTTGTATTGTTTCTAGGATATTGTTCAAGGGTATGTTTTTCAATAAAATAATATTGGCAAATTGAAGGTACATTGTGACCTAATAACACCTGACAGTGCCACTTATAAAACAAAATCGGTATCGGCCAAAATCGGAATCGGCAGGTCAGACTTTTTAGAAATCGGTGATCGGACAGAAAACTGTGATCGGTGCACCCCTAATTAAAACATAAAGACTAGTGCAAACATTTACAGAATACTGAATGCATATCCATCCATCCATTATCTTTTACCCGCTTCTTCCATTTTGGGTCAAGGGGGTCGCCGGTGCCCATGTCCAGCAATCACTGTGCGAGGGGCAGGATACACCCTGGATGGGCCGCAAGTCCATCACAGGGCCATAGAGTCACACCTAGGGACAATTTAGAGTTACCAATCAGCCTAACATGCGGAGAAAACCTACGCATGCATGGAGAGAACATGCAAACTCCACCCAGAGGGGCCTCCAGACCGGGATTTGGACCGGGGACCTGCTCGCTGAGAGGCAGCGGCTGCACCAGTTGCGCCATCGTGCTGCCCCTGAATGCATATATGTAACATTATGATTAAATATACAGGAAATCAGGTAAGACACTCTAGTTACTGTAGTTATTATGTTGGACTAGTACAACTTGTGCCAAACTAACCCATTAGCTACCAATTAGACACATTTCAGGCACTTTTGGTGGTAATACCTGATTCAGTACTTACCGTACTGTCATTTGAGGACCAAAATGTTCACATTTTGGAACGAGAAGACAGATGGTTTGAGAGGGGAGCGAAGGAAGCAATTTATGTAAAAAGAGAGAAACCATCTTTAAACAGAGGAGGAGGTCTCAGATTTCAACTCTCAAAAACTTATAATGCTTATTTAGGACTGACTCAGCCAGTTTTCACACCTATCAGACGGAACCAGAGGGGCCACATCTGTGAGGTGTGACAGGTCAATCTGCATGTGTGTATCTTTATAACCTGAACCCCACACTCTGCTCTTTGAATTGAGAAAGCTTCTCGCATGAGAAGCGAAACGTCTTCTGTTACACATAAAGTCCAGTTGTTTTTGTCTTGAACTATTTTGAATTTACCATGTCCTGGATGACTGAGAATCTTCAGCGTTTTACCGTGCACCCTACATTTTCTGAATCAACAAGTTTTTACCCTCACAGCTGGAGGATGAGTTGTATTTTGTGCTTCAGCGGTAAAAATAAAAAATAAAAAATGCAGCCTTTCAACCGTTTCAAATACTCACTGACTTCCAGAGCAGCCTCGTTTTGCAGACACGCGCAGATAACGCACGCTGCTCTTTGTTTTAAAGTGTTAAAAGATAAACTTACGGAGCGAGCCTGCGTGTTCGGCGGCTGAGACCCCTTCACGGTCAGCCAGGAAAAACAGCCATCCAGAAAGACGAAGAGAAAACGGGTTTTCTCTCCACTTATCCCAAGGCTCTTTAAGAACTCATCTAAACCCGCAGAAGCAGCGATGTCGTTTTTTGGTTCCTGCTTTCTATGCAAATGTTTGAAACCCTCGCCCTGACAGAGGAAGATCTGCCGGTTTCAACTCACTCTCTCCGGGAACTTTAGCCGTTCGAGTTTCCGGAGTCCATGTCTGCCTCCCTGGACAGCCTGAACGCGGCTCGTCGCTCCTCTCCTGCCCGCTGAAATAAACCAACAATGGAGGAAAAGTTTTCCCTCCGCCCTCGAGGACTATCCTCCCCTCCCTGCCTCCATCCAAGAGCGGCCGGTGAGCCGGTGGAAGGCCGGGGGGGGGGGGGGGGGGGGGGGGTGCTTGTTTGAATGTTCACCCCTTTGTTGAAGATAAAGCAGTCAATGGAGAGCTAGTGTTGTTTTCTTACATTAACTCAAATGTAAATCAGTCGCTGTCAATCTAAAGGATTCAAGATTATTTATTTGTCATTCGCACCACATGTGGTGGAACGAAATTGTGTGCACAGTTACATTCAACAAAAGTATAAAATGTAAAAGAAAAACAGTAATACGATCTAAGATATGAACTAAGAAAAACGTTCAACTAAAAATACACTAAGCGTTAGTACAAAAACAATACGCCGAACAGCAGCACAAACATGAGTCTGTGTGAGCAGATGAGTACGAATGAACACATCAACATGAAACAGATCAGCAGCAACACGATGTGATTTTTCAGTGATTATTCTGGTTAGATATTCATGAGTCTAACAGCCTCAGGGTAGAAGCTGTTCCTCAGTCTAGTGGTTCTACACTTAATGCTCCTTAACCTCCTTCCTGAGGGGAGTGGGGCAAAAAGTGTGTGTGCTGGATGAGTGGGGTCCTTCATGATGCAGGTGGCCCTCTTCCTGCATCTGGAGGTGTAGATGTCTGTGATGGTGGGGAGGCTGACTCCAACAGTCTTCTGTGCAGCCTTCACCACTCTCTGCAAAGCTTTTCTTTCTGCAGCTGTGCAGCCTTCATGCCACACGTTGATGCTGGAGCACAGGATGCTCTCCACTGCACACCTGTAGAAGGAGGTGAGGACTGAGCTTCCCAGACCAGCTCGTCTCAGCCGCCTGAGGAAGTAGAGTCTCTGATGAGCTTTCTTGATCAGGCTGGTGGTGTTGTTGCTCCAGCTGAGGTTGTCATTCAGGTGTACACCCAAGTACTTGTAGCTGGAGACCACTTCCACTGCAGATCCTCCTCCTATGTTTTTTTTTTTTTTTT